TGCATCTGCTTATTTATCATATTGATTTCCTCTCATACATTTTATTTTTTTGTCATTGTCTGTGCTGATGTTTCCTGATCAAAAAGTGTATAATTATTATTATTACCAGTAGTAGTCGTAGTAGTAGTAGTAGTAGTAGTAGTAGTAGTAGTAGTGAGTCCCATACAGCCCTGCCTCAAAACTAAAGTAAAATGCTGCTTACAGATATTCTATAAATATACAATCTGATTATAATATATATAATTGGTTAATTGTATAATTATCTTTTCTACACTGGGGTCAACTTTGACTTTTATAATTGAATTATCTTTCCTGATGATACTCATTTGTTTTTCTGATGTGTTTTTATTTGTCCTCATCCCCTGGATTATAATCTTTACTATTTGACTTTTTTTTTTAAAGACAAACAAGACAACTCGTAAAAAAAAAAAAAATCAGTTTTCAAGACACAGTCACTTTCTGGCAGTTGATCACATTTTCACCCCGGAAGCTCTGCAGTTTTCGTTGCTACACCGGAAGTTGAGGAGGGTGTCTCTCTCGTCGGGTCGTTCATCTTTGTTTGTGTATATTCAGCAAAACACTGGTTTAGTTAATATTTAGTTTAATACGGTCGAAGGTGGTTTAAGCATTAGTAGTTCTATATCTATTCCCTCTTGAAAATGTCACTGACGCAGGTTTCAGTTATTTCTTCTCAGCTGTCATAAACAATAGTTGTTGTTGTCACAAACACAATCAAGCTACAATCTGCAATCATTTCTTTTTATATCGGTTAATCGACACAGCACTTACCTGGATAACTCTAATAGACCTGTAATCCACACATAAAGGTAAAGGTAAAACAATACATTTCAGATTATTATATATATCTGGCAGAAGTTTGCATTGCTGTTGTGTGTTATTTTATCGAGTCCCACTAGAGGGCGCCCTGGTAGACAAGACAAGAAGCTGGTGTTTAGTTCTAACCAGTGAGTTTATTCATCATCTATAATCATATATTAATCTTCCTATAGTTAAACCATAACCCGTTATTCAGACAAAAGGTTTTCAATATCCAGGCTGTGAAAAAAAAAGAAGTATCTCAGGTGTAGATATTGATGAGAAAGTTTTTAAACCAACACATCAATCACCTGATCAATTCTTTTTACTTATTTGCTTGTTTGTTTGTTTGTTTGTTTTCATTATTTTCCGTTATGAATTTTACACCGGTGCATGACCTGGACCCCACGGTTCAGAATCACTGAACTGAATGAACGTAAACCTTCAACCCCAATGTTGTATTTATTAACAGTTCATCTATAAAGCACCGTTGAATGATTTACTAGTTGAACCTATAGTTGATACTGAAACTCTTGGTGCTGTGTTAGACAGAGGTAACAAAACCAGTAACCACAGCTCACCCCTTGGTTACAACCTGGGTTTCTTATAACAGGATCAAACTCAGCATGTTTTCCTGTTTCTTACATTTTTGGTTCTTAATCTTTGGATGTTTGCAGGTGAGACAGACGGACTGAGCCACGACATGTAAGAGCCTCTCAAACACAATGTTTTATAGCATAGTGAGACTTTA